TATATCTAAATCTAAACCGATTTCCGGGAAACTTAACACACATTATACTTGACCTAATTCATTACGCTGTGCCAAATTTCGTGCAAATCGAAAGATATATAGGGACTTTGGTGCACCATTTACCTTAAATCGGACGAAAATATATATGGCAGCTATATCTAAATCTAAACCGATTTTCTCGAACCTTGGCACACATCTTTCTGGACCTTATTCATTACACTGTGCGAAATTTCGTGCAAGTAGAGAGATATATAGGGACTTTGGTGCACCATTTACATTAAATCGGACGAAAATGTATATGAGAGCTATATCTAAATCTGAACCGATTTTTCCAATTTCAATAGAGTTCGCCCTTGGACCAAATAAGTGACTTGTGCCAAATTTCATCCAAATCGGATCATAAATGCGACCTGTACTTTGTTCACAAAAATACATGGACGGACAGACGGACGGACATGCGTAAATCGACTCAGAAAGTGATTCTATGCATATTCTCAAAAGGATCATTTCCTTTTGCCTGTTGCAAACATATCGACGCCTCCGAACCATAGTATGCTAAGTCGACTTAGCATGTTTTAAAGTTCTTTACGTTTTTAGATACTACGGTCCTTAATTTATATTCTCTGAAATTTTGGTAGCCATCGGCCAATCCAAACCAAAGTTATAAGCAAAAATGTACTTAGCATGGCCCGTAAGATATATGAAACTATGAAACTACGTTGAGAGCTTCTACTGAAAAACTCACTTTTCAGACTTAGCATACTATGGTTCGGTTGCGTCGATATGCACAAAGACATAATACCCTGTACCACAGTGTGGTGAAGGGTATACAAATCTACGTCTTTAAAAAACAATATTTATAAAATCCACCCCTTTGGAAGTCCTTGAAAAAAATATTCATTGAAAAATCCGCTTGAAAAAATATTCTTTTAAAAATCCTAGGTTCATCAAAAAATTTTCTTTAAAAATCCACTTCGTTTTGTCCTTGTAAAAATATTTTTCAAAATCTCCATTTATTTTTTTTTTTTTAATTGTAATATGTGATCTATCATTTATATCCGGTACCACTCACAAATGTCATGATCCATATGAACATAATCTACCATATCAGTTTTTAATGAAATTCTCATGCTACGCACACACACATACATGCATGTGTTTGTGTGTATAAATTGTATATTTTCCATCACTCTTTATTTTGTAGTTATATATCTATATTGTGTTGGGTTTGACCCGAGAACAGAAAAAACACGAAAAACAAGAAATCCCCAGCAGCAAGGGGTAACTGATAAAGAATGCGAAAATAAAACAACAACAACAACAACAACAGAGAACAAAAACTTGTACAAAGCCATAAATCATAAAATAGAAGAGAGCTCATCTCTGGTGATTAATGTTTTAGTTTCATAAGTGTACCGAAGAGCATTTCACTGATAGATAGAATTAAAGTAGACATGGCATGGCAGGTCCGCCCAGAGTTAAAACTAAACAGCAGCGGCAGATTTAAGTTTTTTTTTTATTCGTAATTGTAGGGCAGAGCAGAGCTACACAAACAACTGGCAGCTTGTTTCACTTTGATTAAAAGCGAACGGACGGATGTTCATTTCCGCCTAATTCAATTAGGAACAAAACATCCGGTAGAAGCACAAAAGTATTTTTTTACGTTTGGCATTTTGCACAAACACACACACACACCCAAACATACACAATAAACAACATCATCATCAACATTGGCAACATTTTCATAAAATTATGATGCACTTCCGAAGGAATTCGATGCATTTTACGAATGTGTATGTGTGTGCCATGTCATGTCGTGACATTTGAACAATTTTTCTAATTCAACCGAAGTAGGCTTATGGGTGGGTGGTGGAATGGGAGGACGAGAGATGTAGAGGTGGTAATTGGGTGTTGGCAATATGCCGCTAACAAAATTTGAATTTGTTATACCGTTAAAATAAATGCATCAAATATTTATGAGAATTCCATGGGGTTGGCAGCAGCGCAGCAATCACATTTAAAATGTTTAGAATAATTTTTGAAAATACTCAAAATAATTTCATATTTAGTGTCGATGTGTGTTGATAACATAATTTTTAAACAATGTTATATCAACAAAATAAACTGCATTTATAAAAGTAATATTCATTATAGGATTTATGGACCGCAGCTAAAATAAAATAAAAAATATTTTCTGAAGTATATGAGAATTAAATGCGGATTTTTCAAATCATTTCATTTCTAGGATTTTTACAGGCGTGTGATTCGTTATCGAATTATTATTAGGGACCAACTAAGTTGTGGATTTTTTAAGGAATATTATTTGAAGGACTAATAAAAGTGTGGATTTTTAAGGAGTATTATTTGAAGGACTAATATGGGCGTGGATTGTTTACGGAATATTTTTGCAATGACCTATCATATTTGTTCAAGGACCAAGGTTTTTAAAAAAATACTTTTTCAAGGACTACCAAAGGCGTGGATTTTTTAAAGATTCATTTTTCAAGGACTACCAAAGGCGTGGATTTTTTAAAGATTCATTTTTCAAGGACTACCAAAGGCGTGGATTTTTTAAAGATTCATTCATATGTTTGGCTCAAGGACGAACCCTATTGAAATTGGAAAAAATCAGTTCAGATTTAGATATAGCTCCCATATATATTTTCGTCCGATTTAAGGAAAATGGTGTACCAAAGTCCCTATATATATTTCGATTTGCACGAAATTTGGCATAGCGCACTGAATTATGTATAGAATGATGCGTGTTAAATTTCGTGAAAATGGGTTTAGATTAAGATATAGCTCCCATATATATTTTCGTCCGATTTATATCTTTCGATTTGGACGAAATAAAGACACAGCGTACTGAATTAAGCCTAGAATGATGTGTGCTATGTTTCGTGAAAATCGGTTCAGATTTAGATATAGCTCCCACATATATTTTCGTCCAATTTAAGGTAAATGGTGCACGAAAGTACATATATATCATTCGATTTGCACGAAATTTGGCATAGCGTACTGAATTAAGTGTAGAACAATGTGTGTTAAATTTCAGGAAAATCGGTTCAGATTTAGATATATCTCCCATATATTTTTTCGTCCGATTTCAGGTAAATAGTGCACCAAAGACCTTTTATATCCTTCGATTTGCACGAAATTTGGCATAGCGTACTGAATTAAGTCTACAACGATGTGTGTTAGATTTCGTGGAAATCGGTTCAGATTTAGATATAGCTCCCATATATATTTTCGTTCGATTTTAGGTAAATGGTGCACCAAAGTCCCTATATATTTTTCGATTTGCACGAAATATGGCATAGAGTACAGAATTAAGTGTACAACGATGTTTGTTAAATTTCATGAAAATCGGTTCAGATTTAGATATAGCTCCCATATATATTTTCGTCCGATTTTAGGTTAATAGTGTACCAAATTGCCTATATGTCATTCGATTTGCACGAAATTTGCCATAGCGTACTAAATTAAGTCTAGAGTGATGTGTGTTAAGTTTCGGGAAAATCGGTTCAGATTTAGATATAGCCCCCATATATATTTTCATCCGATTTTATGTACAAGGTGTACCAAAGTCCCTATATATCCTTGGATTTGCACGAAATTTGGCACAGAGTACTGAATTATGTCCAGAATGATGTGTGCTAAGTTTCGAGAAAATCGGGTCAGATTTATATATAGCTCCCATATATATTTTCGTCCGATCTATGGTAAATGGGGCTCCAAAGTGCCTATATATCTTTCGATTTGCACGAAATTTGGCATAGGGTACTGAATTAGGTCCAGAATGATGCGTGCTAAGTTTCGTGAAAATCTGTTGAGATTTATATATAGCTTCAATATATATTTTCGACTGATTTAATTTAAATTGTGCACTAAAGACCTAAAGATTGGCCGATCTGCACACAATTTTGTACAATGTACTGTTACTATAACTTTTCGTGTGTCAAGTTTTCTTGAAATTGGTTCAGATGTACATATACCTTTTATATATGTATTTTCGTCCGATTTTAAGTAAATGGTACACTAAAGGCCCATACTGACCCGTACATGTATATAAATTAATAAAAATTAATATCTAGCAAGTTTCTCTGAAATTGATTCAGATTAGCTTCCATATATAATTTCGACCTATTCATGTTGACTGTACACCAAATAATCGCCTTAGGAAAGGCGACGTCTGTTAGGATACATATGCAGAATATCCCCAAAGTGGTGAACGGTATCATATAGTCGGCCCAGTCCGATTTTACTACTTTCGTTACTGGTTTTATTATATATCACTGTTGTATGCAATTTACGAAGTCCTTTGAGTATTAAATTATCGATGATAAATTTATAAAATTATATATATATATATATATATATCTATTGATATCTATCATGTCTTACTTATGATAATTCGCCATAAACAAGTCGAATACTTCATTTTTTTGTATAATATTTCTATGTAAATCTGATTGCTTCAAACTGAATATATCCTTATGAGATTATCATATCCTTATTACATGCCATCAAAGAAAAATGTATGAAGACTCACCAGAAGGATACTTGAAAATGAAGAATAAAATAAATTTCGCGTAATTGATGGGTTTTCTTAATAATAAAAAAATATTATCCTTGATGCTCTTTGTATGAGATAATTTTTCTTCTCCACTTCGTGAATGTTTTGAAAGGAAAACAGTATTCAATAAATCATTTGATTTCAATTCACAATGTAAGTGTTTTGTTTATTTTGGTTTTTCTGTTCGGTCGTTCGTCCTTACTTCATTATCCTTTGTGAAGTACCAATGATTTCAATGGCAACTATTAATGATTGACCTCGCCGATGCGATTGATGTTGATGATACACTACTTTTTTTTTGAAAATTTTCGAATTTTCCTTTTGCAAAGACATTTTGATTAATTTATTTATTGTCTGTTCATATCTCATATATAACCCCATTTATTTTACCCGTTCTTTTCTTCTTCTTCTTTTGTCTTTTCAGAAATGAAAAATTCTATACGTGCTGCGATGAGCCGTACTTGGATATCACGTTTAATATCACAATGCGCCGTAAAACGCTGTTCTATACAGTTAATCTCATTATACCGTGTATGGGAATCAGTTTTTTAACGATTTTAGTATTTTATCTGCCATCAGATAGTGGTGAAAAAGTAAGTAAATTATTCAAAGCACAAACCCGCACACACACAGTCTCACACATTACAGATTTCCCTTACTACCAGCCACTGCAATTTGCCACACATACTCACATACAAATTGCTGCTGCTTTTTTTGTTCTCTGTCATAAATATTTATGTTTGAACACAAATCATGAAGATGATACTGATGCTGGTGATGCTGATGCTGATGACGACACCAAAAAATACGGTTATGTCTATCTCGAACCCGACTGCGAGTCTTGTCCTACTCTCGAAGGACTTGATTTGCATTAGTTGCTTTGTCGTGACTGACTATATTTTGTGTCTGTCTGTGTGTGTGTCTTTCTGCATTACTAACTGATAATGTTGTTTCCGTTCTTTTTCTCATTCTCTCCCACTCTCTTTTTCTTTCTTTTTTTGTTCTTCGTTTTTTGTAGGTCTCATTAAGCATATCCATTTTACTGTCGTTGACTGTGTTCTTCTTGCTGCTGGCGGAAATTATTCCGCCAACATCGTTAGTTGTGCCGCTTTTAGGGAAATTTGTACTTTTTACAATGATACTCGACACATTCAGGTAAGTCAAAGAGATTCGTTTTTTTCGTTTCGTTTCGTTTTGGTTTGGTTTTTGTTTTCTGTTCGTGTTATTAAGAGACACAGACATACTTGAATATTTATATGAGTGTTCCATAAACACACATTAATCCATAAATGTGATAAGTTTTAATCAATATGCAGTATATGAGATATTCTGTATATTTTGAGATAATAGTGGAAATATTGAAATCCAAATTTATTTGAAAGTAAATGTATTTAAAATCAATAATCGCATTGTTATATACAGCCAAGGTGAACTTCGTAAACCCTTCATCATTAGCTACGAATTGAAATTATTCAAAATCATTCGCGACCCTTTTTTGAAAGTTATCTAAAAAAGGACCAATATTATATACTGCCTAGTCAGATTATATTTATCCTACTACTTATAGATTTAAGACCTTTAAAAGAATTCGGCTAGGATCTATTTACGGTCAATGGGTAATATTTAAAAATATGAACCTGAAAATTTTCAACGAATGAATTTGTACCCACTTTCGGTTAGAAAATTAACTTTTATTTCCCCTTGATACTTCTGATTCGGTCTTCTGCTGGTTTCGTTAATCTTTGTTAATATTCCTAAATAGATGATGTGTCTGCTGTAGGCTGGCCTAGGTGATGGGGTGCCATCTATCGTTACCTAGAAACAATGACTCCTTGAATTTTGTACAGTAGTTGCGGTTATTGCCCATTTAGTATTGTAATTTTCCTCTGGGAGGCGCTATACACTATCATTCCAATTAAATGTCAGGGGGCTTCGGTTTGATTTCATTTTCATTTTCAAGCCTCCTTTTTATAAATATTCGAAAGACACCAAAAATTATTTTTTCCGCTGGGATTCAAACGCAGAAAATCGTTTAGGATTATCAATATACCTAAAATTGGACAGGGCTTTTACTTAGGGATTAATCTCAAAACGTGGACAAACTTTCAAAATACCAACATATGATGGAGCCTTTATATATGGATAGGTCAAAACATAATGATGTATAAAAATGGTCCGTAAATATATGTTTCCACATCGAAGAATCCGGAAAGCCTAATTATATCCACTGGGGTTGGAAATTCGTCTCCAAAATCAAAAATACGCAAAATTTGGCGTGACCCGTAAGGACCTGGAAGCTACATAACAAAATTAACCTAGATTGAAAACTTTCTTTGAAGGAAGACGTATCTTTCACGTAATCTCAAAGGAAGAAGCAGCACGGTGCTAAATCTTTAGCCCTATATGGTTTGAAACTTTTCACATAAAAGAACAATGGTTTCGTTGTTTGTGTGTCATTAGCGGAGTTTTACAGTAAATAAACGTTGTTCAGAACAGTACTATCCAAATCGGACCCTAAAAGAGTCATTAATCATCTCTCAACTGTGTATTCAACCTTGTATGCCAAAAAGTCTTCGCTCCTGAGGGTCTCAGCAAGAATTCTTGTATTTTTTCGAACCCAATATGGAACAATGTTTATTCTTGACATATACAGTGGCTCCATCGAATAATCGGACAAGTGTTTGTCAGATATAGTAATGCTATACATTTCAAAAAAATGTCTAAATGTGTAGTTTTTTTTCGCTTTTATTTACACATTACTTACTTATATTTCTGAACAATACAAAAAGCAACAACTTTCCTAGTGATAAAAGTAAATTTTGTCAGAAAAACAAAATTAACTCAATTTATTGTGTTCAACGCAAAATCGGACAAAACAAAGTATCAATGTTAAAAGTCCCGTTATTATGCAAATATGAACTTCAAATCTGTATTTTGTTTGTCGTATTCATTTGTAAATTGCATTTAGATCAAGAAAGTGGTAAAACTAAATAAAAATAAATTTAAATGGCTCCAAAAGGGAAAAAATTCAGTGTGGAAATCAGACAATTAATAGATAAATTGAATTATGAAGGTAAAACAGTAAGAGAAATTGCCGTATTGGTTGGAATGAATAAATATACTGTCCACGACATTATAAAGAGGTTCCGTGATGAGTTCAGATTGACCAATAAAAGCAGAGAAGGTCAATGGAAGATATTGAATGAGCGAGAAGAGCGTTCGATATTAAAAGAAATAAAACAATATCCATTTAAAAGCGCAAAAGAACTTAAAATAAATTTAAAAACTCGCACTTGAAAAGATGTGTGCCTAAATACTATTCGCAATACATTACATAAATATGATTATTATGGAAGAGTTGCAAGAAAAAAAGCATTTATAAGCCTTAAAAATAAAAACAGTAGAATAAAATATGCCAAGGAGTATTTACTAAAATTAGAAGACTTTTGGAAGCAGGTAATTTGATGATAGATCATCATAAAATACATTTCTATTGATAGTTTCCATTATATTAAGGATCTGTTTACTGACGAAAGCAAATTTAATTCGCACGGATCAGATGGAAAGATGTATGTGTGGCGTAAGCCAAATGCTGAATTTAATCATAAGAATACAAAAGCCACTGTTAAGCACGGATGAGGTTCTGTTATGGTTTGGGTCTGCATGTCGAGTGCGGGAATATACAATTTGCATTTTATTGATGGTAAAATGGACAAATTTGTCTACCTCAACATTTTAAAACAAATCGCGAACAACTTTGCCTTTTATCAAGACAACGATCCCAAGCACACATCAGGTGTTGCAAAGCTTTGGTTGATCCATAACTGTCCCAAACTTATACAAACACCTGCACAGAGCCCAGACCTTAACGTAATTGAGCATCTTTGCGAAGAATTAGCTAGAAGAGTGTATGAAAAAAATGTAACTCCTTGGTACAGCTTAAGGAGGCTTTACTGAAATCGTGGAACTCCATAGAGCCGGAGGTATGCCAGAATTTGGTCAAATCAATACCGAAGCGTTTACAGGCCGTTCTGGACAACAAAGAATATGCAACTAAATATTAATTTCTCGATTTTTTGCGTTTTTTGACATTGATACTTTGCATTGTCCGATTTTGCGTTGAGCACAATAAATTGAGTTAATTTTGTTTTTCTGGCGAAATTTACTGTTATCACTAGGAAAGTTGTTGTTTTTTGTATTGTTCAGAAATATAAGTAAGTAATGTGTAAATAAAAGCGAAAAAACTACACATTTAAACAATTTTTTTGAAATGTATAGCGTTATTATATCTGACAACCACTTGTCCGATTATTCGATGGAGCCACTGTACATATTCACATAGACATGGCTATGCCATGTAATTGCCTTATTCGACTCAAAATTGCGGTTGAATCATTTACATTAGTTCGCGGATCATCGTCTTGGAAGACCCACACGGTACCTTATGTTGTGCATAATTCCATTATTCGACGCCCGTAACGATCTTATAAAAATCTATTAAAAAGAAAACAATCGGCGCGAACCTTTTTGAGAAATTTTGAAATTGCAATCCAAAGAGAACAAACCTTTCTTACGGCCATGTTATCATGCAATATTTATATCGAGAGCAAAAGTCGACTTTTTGATTTTGCTTCTGACCAAAAATTCGACTTTCAGACTTTTCGAATTTTGAATTTGACCAAAATGTCGACTTTTCGATCTTTCGATTTCGTCAAATTTATTCAAAATCGATTTTCGAATTTTACCGACGAAAGTTAAATCGACTTTTTTAGAAGAATTGTTGTCAATAGATCAAATAAAGTTCTGGAATCTGTAATTTTTGGGAAATTACGGCTTCGAAAGTCGACTTTGCGATTTTCTCAAAGATCAAAAGTCGACTTTGACTTTTACTCTTCTCAATACAAAAAGTCGCTTAAAATTTAGTTGAAAGTCGATTTACTTATCCCAAATTGAGTGTATGCTGGTGGAAGAAATACCGCAGGGTGCCTCTATCTCACGATCTTCCATTACAAATGCCCCAACGGCATGAATATTCTGTGGCACTACAATATTTTTCGTCGATATTTCACTATGTCGATCGATGTCCTCTTATCCTGAAAACCCACGTCAAAACTTGCAAAGAATGATCGCACGCAAATGTTAACGAGTTCATTCCAAACCAAACCGCACTATGTACATTTATGCTTAATAAATTTCTAACTTTTCCGCTGGGAATTTCAGATTACGTATGAACAAAAGTTAGTAGTGGCCTATGCACTACTTCGTAGCCTTCGTACAATTTCGAAATATTCGGATTACGGATCACCGCCAGAAAACAGTTTAAAAATAAAGATTTCGATCAATTTGATCCCAAGAACGATAGATATACATGTTACAAAGTGAGTCCCAATCCAATATTCGTAACGTTACAAAATTTTAGGGATATAAAAAAATAATTAAAAAAACATTAAAGAAGATCTGGACAAAATCCACATATTAAAAAGTTTGACTTTGAAATGTTCCATCAATATATAAAATTATAAAGATTTAATAGCATTCACAGGAACTCATTATAAACTAGTAGGATATATATGAGAATACAAATAATACAGTTTAAAATAGCTAACGTAATGACCGATATGTGGCACTGTTTATATTAGGAAATATAGTTATCGACCTGTTGTAGATAGCGACTGCACAAACCATATGTGGATATTGTTGATAATAAAGTTGGCGAAGTATTGTTATTTATTCTTATGAAATACAGATGTCGGCCTGTGATCGATACCAAAATCCGAACGATCTGTACACTAGGTAGAAGGTGTGTCTAGATCTAATGTTTCGTGGCGTTAAAAACGCTAAGGGAGAATGCAAATAATAATTAAAAACAACACTAAAGAAGATCAGAGCATAATTTACCAAATGAAAAATTTTGACTTTGAAATGTATAAAAAAGTATAATGATTTATTCTTTTGGAAAATTTACTCATTTACAACTAGTAGAGTATATATTGGAATGCAGCTAATACAGTTTTAAGTAGTTACCGTAATGTCCGATATGTGCCAACGTTCATATTAGGAGATATAATTTTCGACATGAATACACTAACCATATAAGGATATTGTCGATAACCATGTTAGCGAAGTAGAGATGCCGTACTTTAGTTAAGTTCATA